ATTGTTAACATTATCAAAACATCATTAAAACATTATAAAGGAGTTTCTTGAAAATCTACGTTGGGTTTGGAAACCCACACCCAGCTTTAAGCCGAGATAAAGCATTCTGGTCAATTCATGCCTGGCTTAATAAACTCACGCCTGACTTAATCATGTGTAGCTTAAAAATAACAAGCTCGACTTAAAAAAAACAAGTCTGACTTTAAGTCGTGGCAGAGAGCACCAGATTCGTCTTGCACCAGGCATGGACATTTTCTTGCCCGATGCTAGCACGTTTGGGCAAGGCCTTCATACACATGAAGGCATGCTTGGCTTTGGGCACTCGAACCCGACAGCATGTGCGATCAAACACCCAATCACCATCATCAAAATCCCTAGATCTTGAAATAAACGTTTTGATAATCAATCATACCAATTATAATCTCCCAAAACTCATTTTACATCCAGAAAATCACCAATTTTCCATCTACAACTTTTACCTCTTAAATTCCTCGAATTTCTCCCCTTAGGGTTCTAACCTTTTCACAGAGCACTCAATAAATTACTCTAAAGACATATTCTCATCAAATAAATTACATATTCAACATCTACTCATCAAATCACATTAAACGCACATCAAATTTCATCAAACAGAAAACTGACGGGATTGGAGGCTAATCCCTCTAGCTAGGGTTCTAACCCCCCTTCTACAGGGCATTCAATTAATCATCCAAAAACACCTGATCATCAATTAAATCACATATTTGGAATCTACTCATTCAATCACATCAAATATCATCAAACAGAAATCTTATGAGATTGGGGGTCAACCCCTCTACCTTCATGCATACACCCAATCCCTAGAATGAGTGTTCTAACTCCTCTTACCTAGAGTGATGAAAAATCTAGATTTACACGTTTGGCTCCTCTCCGGTGATTCTTCCTCCTTATTCTCCTGATATGTCTTCTTTAGAGTACTCAAGCGTCAATTAGAGCATGTAAAAATGAAATGTAAAATAATAATAACCTCTCTTATCTTCTAAAATAAGCCTTTTATTTCCCTAAACCCCCTCTCATCTTTATTATTTCTAATACCCCCTTATAATAATTAATTCTATTAAAAGTGTAGAGTAAAAATTATTAATCGTAATATAAAAAAAAAAAATCACCCTCCTTCTCCCTAATTAATAAATATTACTAAATAGAAAATTTCAGGGTGCATGTTACAAGTTATTTATTTTAATTATTTTCAGTAATAGTTCTGATATATTTTCTTTTTCTTTTTTAATTATTTTTAGTAGTGTTTTATTTAATAATACTATTTATATATAAAAATATTTAGGAAAAAAATTATCAAAAGAAATAAGTATTTATAACATTTATTGAAAGGAAATTTTATTAGACGAAGATTTTAGAATAAAGAAATTATAGATACTATAGATATAGATACTATATATGTATATATACTATATATGTAGATATAGATACTAATTAACATTTATTGAAAAATTAAAAGATATTGTAATTAACTAAAAAAAATAATACTAATTAACGCAATCTTTTGTAGTGTTTTAGAAATTTTAAAATATTTTTATTTATTACCGCAATCTATTATACTCTTTTAAAAAAAATAAGAATATGAATTAATTACTGCAATCCTATTTGATTAGCATTTAATTGAAAATTAATGTTTTGTGTATTATTAATTAATTTGGATGCCAAAAAATATTGTTACTGTTTTAGAAATGTCCTGCAGAAATTAATGCAATCCTTTATACTGTTTTAGAATTTTGAAAATATTTATATTTATTACTGCAATCTGCAGTTTTAAACTCTTTAAAGAATAAGAATATAAATTAATTATCGCAATCCGTTACTGTTTAAAAATATATTTTGATTAGCATTTAATTGCAAATGCTTTGTGTATTATTAATATATTATTAATTATTAATATATTAATAAGAATATGAATTAATTATCGCAATCCTATTTGATTAGCATTTTATTGCAAATTAATTTTTTGTGCATTATTCATTAATTTGGATGCCAAAAAATATTAGAGCATCTCTAATGCTAGGTTTTTTTCCGGTTCTTAAATTTAAGCTCTCATTACTGATAAGAAACCTATATTGGAGCATGCTGACATGGCAGGTCAAATTGCTAAAATTTAAGCACCGTTACTTATATAAGAGACGATTGTTTAAGAATAAAAAATAATTTAATATTTTCTTCCTCCACTAAAGCCAACAGCTATAATAATTAAACTTTTCAAAATTTATTGAAAAGGAAGTATGAGTGATTAAAAAGTGAAGGTACTTATAAACAACTTTCATTGAAATAAAATTATAAAATATAATATAAGTTGCTTATGAGTGACATGACAGTGTGAGATCCATTAAAGTGAATGAAATTATAAACAACTCCCATTGTAAATGCTCTTATATATTAGAAATGTCCTCCAGAAATTAATGCAATCCTTTATACTGTTTTAGAATTTTGAAAATATTTATATTTATTACCGCAATCTGCAGGTTTATACTCTTTAAAGAATAAGAATATAAATTAATTATCGCAATCCGTTACTAGCTACTTAAAAATATATTTTGGTTAGCATTTAATTGGAAATGCTTTGTGTATTAGTAATATATTATTAATTATTAATTTGGATAGTCATGCATAAATTGATGCAATCTTAGATTTTTTTTAAATATTTACATTTATTACTGCCATCTGTTATACTCTTTAGAAAAAATATAAGAATATAAATTAATTAATGCAATCTGTTATACTGTTTGAAAATAATGTTATTTTGATCAACATTTAATTGCAATTTTCTTTTGTGTTATTTATAACAATTAATAGATAAGAAGATATTGTTATGAAAAGAAAAATAATAACAAAGATATAATATGAAATAGAAAAAAGAATTTGACTGGTATTGTTTCTGAAAAAGGGAATAACTACATATGATAGCTAAATAATCAATTATACAAAAAAGGAAATAATATATAACGAAAATATAAATGATAATGATGTACATTAAATATTGACATTCGCTAATTAAGTCAGAAATTATTATTCATAACATTTTCCATTGAATGTCTAATATTTAGAATGTGTCTTATTAAAACCTTACTAGGAAAAAACCATAAAAACCTATTGAAGGAAAAAGAATACATTGTTAGATATTTATTTCTCCCTCTCATGCATACATATAATCATCTTTAAGACTATACGAAGTTCAATCTTGTATCTCTACTCAAGAATTTTTCTTGGAAATGACTTTGTAAAGAGATTTACTAAGTTGTCACATGAGCGAACTTGTTGAACATTTATATCATTATTTTTTTTAAAGATAATGAGTAACAAAAGTTTTGGTAGAATATGCTTTGTTCTATCTTCCTTTATATATCTATCTTTCAATTATGCAATACATGCAACATGATATTCGTATATAATTGTTGATATCATTTTTTTAGAAGATAAGCCACAAGTTTCCCATACATAGATCTTAGTCAAACACATTCACGACTTGTCTCATGTAATGCTAAAATTTCTACATGATTAAATAAAGTGGTTGTTATGGTTTTGTTTTACAACCACTCGTAAATAAATATGTTGTTTGTAATTTACCATTATGAGGATCTGACAAGTAACCTGAGTCTGCATAACCATTTAGTTTTGGTTTGGGAACATTTGAATAGAATAATCCCATATCCATTGTACCACTATAAGATAACTGATGGAAACCTCTTAGAGAATCCAAAATACTTAATGATGGCTTCTCCTCCAAGTTTCTTCCTAGACCTTTGGCTCTTTGACTTTTCTCAACCATCTCCAAAGCTTCCTATGGTAGAAGTAGCTTCAGATTTCACCTTAGGAGGTGAAGAACACTCTTCAAGTGATGCCACTCCTTAGAAGAAGATGAATTACTTCAATACTCACCACACTCTTGTATGAAGAGGATAAGAGAATATGATTGAAATCAAAGAGGTTTAATACTTTTAGGAAGAAAGAATTCAAAGAAAAAATTCTTGGTTATGCTCTCATATCATCAAAAAGTGTTTACCAAATGAAAGAAAAGCCTTAGATAGAGAATATGTAGCTTATGGTGTAAGCTAGTCTAACCATGGTTAAAGTAGAACTATGGTTAGCCTTCTTACACTCAAGCTAACTACCCCTAGTTACCTAGAAGCTTATGGAGCAAGATAAGCTTGAAGCTTGGGGAGCAAGCTAAGCTAGAAGCTTGAGGCACAAGCTAAGCAAGTGTGTTGGAGAAGCCAAAGAGCAACTCGACCAAATGGAGAGTTAGGCGGCCTAGTCTTGTTTTCTTCACTAATTCCAATCCAAAATTATTGGAATTGGTTTAGTTAGGTTCACCAAATAATGGTGAGACCTAGCTAAATCAATTCCTTGGAAAAAAATGGAGGAAAACAAGTCTAATATGTAAAATTTTTCCTAGGCCCACCAAAGGCCCAATTACTAGCTACGCCTACACACTTACTATTTGTCGCCCTACTTCTATTACTAAAAATGAGAAAATCTATAACCATTAATATAAGGTCAAATGTAGCAAAAGTCTACAAGTCACATACCTTAGAACTCTAAAGGGATGACCTATAAGAAAAGAAAAAGGGTGTCTCACAAATATAAAGGCAAAATATACTTATACAAGTAACTACTATGTACAAGTATTCACTACTAGAAAAATACTATTCCACGTCACTATATTTACATCAGTTCCCTAAAAACCGATGTAAAATAAATATGCGGTGGAAATTTTGTAAATAACTTAAATATATAAGAATATTTACATCGGTTATTATAGAAAATGATGTAAATATAAACAATTCTACATCGGTTATATGAGTGACCGATGTAGAAATGAAATTAGTGAGCTATTCTACATCAGGTTTCGTGTTGACCAGTGTAGAAGGGGTGACAAAATTCTTCCCCGCCCCCGCGCGCGACCACTCAATAGATGCTGACCCTCTGAAACACTCCCTCTCGCACACTCTGGAATGCTCCCTCTCGCACACTCTGGAACGCTACCTCTCGCACACACTGAGACCCAAACCCCCTCAACACTCTCAAACCTAAAACGCTCTCTACATTCTAGGCTCGTTGATCTTCAACAACCCTCCAAGGAAGCATTGAAGTCCTATTTGACGAACGACGTAGTGAAGCCATTTTAGGTGCGTATCTTTATTTTGTCTTTTGCTTGTTTTGGCCTCTCTCATCTTGTACAAATGCGGGTGCTAATGTTTTAGGGTCTGGAGGCACTCCCGGAGGAGGTTTCCGGAAACGCAATCGTCCTATTATGCGAGTCCATTATGAAGGTATTTGTTTCATTTTTGAAGCAAGTATGTTTGGCTTCAAAAATTGAGAAGTTTGGGCTCAACAGAAGCTACAATTGCCGCTTTTTGTTTGATATAGCCTGCTGAAATCCGTTTTTATCCATAGAATAACATTGTTTGGGTTTTGATTTTATGTGGAATATTCCTAATAGTTTCCTCTATTTTGTCATTCACTTTCTTATATTAATTATTTTGAAAAGTTTTTGTTAAATCAAATAGAAGTGATGGGGACGGTGGGTGGGGGTTTCTATGTTTATGTTTGTGGTGGCAGTAAAGGTTGCAGGTTTGCAATTTCTGACGATGGCAAAAAGATCCCAATCCTCATGAGCCATTGTTGAGAGAAGGATTCGTTTGAGGATATGTGTAGAATTTCTAAAAATCAAAAACAAAAATCAAATATTTTTGGTGCTTATTTTCCAATGGAGGAAAATTGTGAGAGAGCAAAGAGTTAGAGAAAAGGGGAAATTAGAAGATAATGTTCCCATGTGCTTTGAGAGCACTTGGTCCCTACATGCACATAAACCACATGTCCACATTACTAAGATGAGTTGGATTATTTGGTAAAATAGTTGTTATTTATTTAGTGAATTTGAAGAGCACTCAAGAACTTAACTGAAGTGAACTGAAGTATCTAAATTTTTTTAAAATGTTTCAATTAACATAACATGAAAGATTTACGTGTAATTTTCAACATTCATTGCTTGTTATTTTAGTTCTATATACCCTTGAAATCTTAGTGTTGGAGTAGAAAAGATCAGCACCTTTGGGTGTTGATACATTTTGTTGTCATGAGAGTTTGCAAACTTATTGTTTTCTTATATAATATATCCTAAGATTCTATAATTATTATAGGCTACACTACCTGGATTTTCATCCAAGGGGCTATCCATTGAAGAAGGGGAATCACTACTAGAAAGGAGTGTCAAATTGGCAGTTGAAGCCCGTGATAGTTTCTGGAATTCAGTCAAAAGAAATCCTGGGAATAGATATAAAAGAGCTTTGGATGCAGCCTCCATTGGAAGCTATGGGGCTTACCTTGTTGATGGCTCAGAATACAGGTGCTTCAACACTCTTTAAAATTTAATAGTTTGGTTCTTATCTGTCTTGCAGAGAAACTATTGTATGTTTTCGATATGTTTGCGGAATTCATTCATATTGATTTCTTCTTGTAGTGGTTGCTATGGACCATATGTTAATTTAAAGAAGTTGAAGGATTTTCATCGTTGCAGATTGCAAGTTCTCGTTGAAGCTGGTCTAGATTTGCTTGCTTTTGAGACCATTCCAAACAAACTTGAAGCTCAGGTCTTTTTATTTTTTGTTTGCTTTTTTCTTTTTCTAATAAGCATGTTCCATAGAAGTATACCTTGATGTAATTTCTTAAATTAAAATTACTGCAATCTATTTACAGCATAAAATTATAATTCTTCTACTCTATTGTTCATCCACTTCTCTCACGTTTCTATAATTTCATTCCAATGTCTTTGTGTTGGTGAAGAACTATATCTTGGTAACAAATTAAAAGCATAGGAGTGCATAATAGATGTGATTTGTCCATATAAAACCTTTCAAGAACCTTTGTTGTGTAAGCTTCTTGATGCACAAGAATTCCATTTTTTTAAATATTCAATTTATAGTCCCAAGCAAAATTTTGTCTTTTTTAGATCCTTCATTTCAAATTATTTCTTTAGGTAATCTATTAGTTTTGAAAGCTCTTTAAGAGTTCCAATAATGTTTATGTCATCTAGATAAACTACTATTTTGGCAGATCCATTTTCAAATTTTTTTATAAATATACTTGGACAAATTAGATCATTTTTATATTCTTCTTTTAACAAATATTCACTTAGATGATTATACCACATATGATCTAATTACTTTAATCCATATAGGGATTTATTCAACTTGATCGTGTAATTTTCTCTAGTAATTGCATCGTTGGGCAAATTAAATCATTTAGGGAGTTTTATATAAATGTCAGTGTCAAAAGAGTCATACAAATATGTTGTAACTACATCCATTAGATGTAAATTATGTTTTGCATGTACAACCAAACTAATTAAGTATCGAAAAGTACTTGCATCCACTACAGGTAAATATGTTTCTTCAAAATCAATACTAGGTCTTTACAAAAATTCTTAAGCAACTAGTCTTGTTTTGTATCTCACAATTTCATCATTTTCATTTTGCTTTTGTGCAAAACCCCATTTATACCCAACTGGTTTTACACCTTTAGGTGTACATACTGCTGGTTCAAAAACTTTTCACTTAGCAAGCGAGTCTAATTTTGTCTCAATTGTATCTTTCCATTTTGACCAATTATTTTTTTTGTCGATAATCCTTGATGGACTTTAGTTTTTGATCCTCAATATTATTTATTACATTTAGTGCTATAATATATGCAAATACACCGTCAATGTTGACTTCATTTTGGTTTCATTATATTTTCATTCATGACATAATTTGATCTCTTTGTTTTTACCAAATTTCAAGTACTTGAGTTCTTCTAAAACTTATTATTTATGTCAAAAAAATATTTTGGAATTTTTATATATCCTTGATTTGACCATCTTGATTTTTAGCTCATTTTCTAAATCAAGAATTTCTTATCTTTGGAATCAATAAGTCTACCACACTTCATGCGTATTTAAGACTTTTTGTAATATAACCCAATAGGGACATCAATTTTTTTACAGCATTAACAATTGATATACATGATTTAACCATTCTTTTGGTTAAACTTTTGTCAATGAATTATCTCTTGAACTTTTTATTCATAATGTTTAGTTTGAGGATCAATATTATATTCATTCCAACTAATATCCTCTTTCCCATTGCTTATTTTCTCTCCCTAATGTTGGAAAAATCAACTCAATACAAATCGAACTATAAATATATCCCTGGTTAATTGTTCAAGATAATTTATCATAGATGGAGATTCATGCCCAACATATATTCTCAACGTTATTTGAGGACCCATTTTAGTTCTTTGAGGTAGGCATTTGGAACATATACAACACACTCAAAGATTCTTAAATGAGAAATATTGGGTTGCTCACTAAGACTAATTAACTATAAAAGAGAGAATTTGTGATAGTTTGTTGGCCTAATGAAAATTAATATTGCAACATGCAAGATTGCATGCCCCCAATTTGAAAGTGGAAGTTTTGATCTCATAAGTAATGGTCTTGCAATCAATTTTAAATGTTTGATGAATGATTTTACAAGTCCATTTTGTGTATGAATATGTATTACTAGATGTTCAATATCATTTCCAATGGACATATAATACTTACTAAAAGGATAAAATATGAATCCACTAGCATTATCCAGACAAATTTTCTTCATTGGATAGTAAGATAACGAGTTCTTAATCTAATTAGTTGAGCTAGTAATCTCCAAAACACCTAATTGCAAGTTGATAATAAATAAACATGTAACCATCTTGTTGATGCATCAATTAAAACCATAAAATATCTAAATGGTCCTCAAGGTGGGTATATTGACTAACAAATATCTCCCTACATGCATTCTAAAAATAAGATAATATCATTTCCAATTTTTATTGGTGATGGTCTAATTATTAACTTCCCTTGAGAACAAGAGGTACATAAGAAAATATTTGATTGAAGAATCTCTTGACTCTTCAATAAATGTCCATGTGAATTTTTAATTATTTTTTGCGTCATGATAGACCCCGAATGACCTAATCGGTCATGCCAAACCTCAAATTTATTTTAATTTGTAAAGTTCAGGTTTATAATAGTATGTGTTTCAATCGATTAATATACGTGCGATACAGACCATAGGAGAAAGTGAGTAATTTTTCCAATACTTGCTTTTTATTCAAGTAAAGCTTCGTGATATAAAGATATTCTACATTTTTTTCATTATCAGTTTCAATATAATACCCATTTAAATGAACATCTTTGAAACTTAATAAGTTTCTATAAGATTTAGAAGAATATAATACATTTTTAGCATGCAACTTCATTTCTCCCAATAACAATATACTAGCTCTTCTAGAACATTCAACGATATTTTGTAGTACCATATAACATTATCTTATCACATTAATGAATATGAGAAGACAAAAAATTAATATGTTGGTACATTCACTTCAGGAAATTAAACAATGCTAGCTAAAATGGTCTCATGCATAATAAATCTCATTATTTTATTTAGTCTTCAAGAAACAATAATATCAATTTAAGATATTTCTTAATCTCCATTTTATCTTTCGATATTGCTACTTGAGGAGCATGATAGATGTATAAAAAAATATAACATATTTTCAAATTGAGAAATCATTGTAAAAATGACATTTCTCTTGATGTATCTTTAGACATCAATTTAATCTCAAGATCTACACTAATTTTTGTACCATGTATATAATCTAAAAATAAATACTTCATACAAAATAAAATTTAAAAGACATATTTTAGTAACACTTTATTTTATTATTTTAGAAAATGCATGAAACAATAAAATAAAACAAAATATTAAAATCAATTACTAGCTAGCAATCATGCAACACAATTATATATTCTTTTGAAAAAATCATAACTTTTTAGTCTTTATGTCTTTCTTTTATTAAAAATACAAAGTAAATCTTTCTCATTACAATGATTAAAAAATCATTTAATAAAAATACATTGCTGAAAATTAGGAGAATTATTCTCCTTATAAATGTTATATAGAAAAAATATCAATATAATTATGACATTGAAAAAATTATTTAACTTCCAATAGTACCTTTATTTATATCAAAGAATCAAACATAATACAATATATTTACATCATATTTGTTACTTTATTTATCTTTTCTTTTATTTTCTTTTTCACTTTTTGTATGTTTTCTCAGTTTTTATAAGAAAATTATTCTATCATTTTTATTTTTGTACCATTTTTATAATTTATTTTCTTGATTTTTTCTTCCAGATCAGCTGTATTTAATTAAAATAAGAGAAAAAATTAAATAATAAAAGAAAGGTATAGAATTTTAATAGTGAAAATCTTCATCAAAATATTTTTAATTTCTTATTATAAAAGTTTCACCGGTTTCCTTATATATCTTTTTCTCATAATTTGTATTAATTTACCTGTGCATCTTAAATAGCCTTCAAGCAGAGTGTGCTAATCCATCTATCCAGAAAGCAAGAGAAAAAAAAAAACTTTACAATGGCACTAAAGATGCTCAATCTAAACATTTTCTTGGGATTTCTATGTATTGCTTTGGTTTTGGTTTCAGGTAACGAATTATCCAATAACTAAGTTACACTGTTTACATGATTATCTCAATAATTTTGAATTTTGCAAATAAATTAGAGCAATCTGGAAAACAAACTTCTTACATTGTTTTCTTGAAATTTGTTCTCTCGGTTTTTAATCCTTCAAACCGTGAATGTAATAATTATCGTCAGAATAACATGCTAATGCAAAGTTATAGGCAAACCTTGAGAGAAACCATCTGAATCATCCTTCATAACAAATATAAGCTATTTAAGTGGGTATAATCTACATGTGCGTATTGATTTGTTTTTCTATTTCTTCCGGTTTTTGATTCATGGAATTTGGTTATGTTGGTTAGTGTAGGAGATTTCTATTTCTGAAATCACGAGTTTTTCTTTGAGTTATCTATACTCGCCCAGTCAAATTTTTACCAATCAATCACGAGTTTGTCTTTGAGTTATTCATACTCGCCCAGCGGATTTTTACCTATCAATCACGAGTTAGGTCTTCGAGTTATTTATACTCGCCCAGTCATATTTTTACAAATCAATCACGAGTTAGGTCTTCGAGTTATTTATACTCGCCCAGTCGGATTTTTACTGATCAATCACGAGTTTGTCTTCGAGTTATTTATACTCGCCTAGTCAGATTTTTACTGAATAATCACGAGTTTGTCTTCGAGTTATTAATACTCGCCCAGTCAGATTTTTACCGATCAATCACGAGTTAGGTCTTCGATTTATTTATACTCGCCTAGTCGGATTTTTACCGATCAATCATGTGTTTGTCTTCAAGTTATTTATACTCGCCCAGTTGGATTTTTACTGATCGATCACGAGTTAGGTCTTCGAGTTATTTATACTCGCCAAGTCAGACTTTTACCGATCAATCACGAGTTTTGGTCTTCTAGTTATTTATACTCGCCCAATCAGATTTTTACTGATCAATCACGAGTTAGGTCTTCAAGTTATTTATACTCGCCCAGTCGGATTTTTACCGATCAATCATGAATTTTGGTCTTTGAGTTATTCATACTCGCCCAGTCAGATTTTTACCGATCAATCACGAGTTTGTCTTCGAGTTATTTATACTCGCCCAGTCGGAATGGAACCGATCAATCATGAGTTTTGTCTTCGAGG